AAAACAAATTTGGCATCTGATTCAGAGGACATAACAGCTTTCAGCATTCTGGGTAAGCGTTGCTGTGATTTTCCTACACGGAAAAATGTTACTGGTTCTCCTTGAAATCCAATAATATCAAGTGACTCCCAGATTTTAATTTTGTCGTTTTCTTTTTTGGAGTGACTGTCTCCGGTGCTTTCAGATAATCCCCTGATAAGTACATTTTTTGCACGTGACATACATTCGACCGCTTCGTTTGCAATTTTTTCGGTGATTTCGACAGTTAATAGCTTCCACAGACTTAATTTTATTTTTTAGATCCGTTATTTCGGTCGAGAGTTTAGCAATATTATCATCGAGTTTCTTTTGTATATCAAGCTTAAAGTCAGTTATAAGTTTTCTAAATCTGTAAAGTTACCAAGATTAATGGAGCAACTATTACATAAAATGTTCAGACCACGAATTTTCTGTCTAGTTACACGGTCAGTAGACGATAGACCAGTGCATTCCATATGAATCGAATGCTTGCATCCATCACACTGGAGAGCTGAAGCGCAATCGGCCACTGCTTTCGTACAATTCGCACAACTGGGCATGGTTGACTTTTAAAGGTGATAAATTAACAGAAATTTTGAACCTTGGTGGAATTAACCAAAGAATTTCGATATAAATAAGCACAACACCAGTTTTTACACTGCTCAATCCTTTGGAAACGAAGGTAAATAACATGTAGGGGGCATTTGTAAAAATTTATAAAATTCTGTGCATTTTGGTATTTGAAAGGTCTGTTTGGGATAAAAAATAACGCAAATAAGTACTAAATTTCTAGTTTTATCCGATTTTAATACAAACATAGAGCAAAATACAAAACTTATTATATATTACTTATTAATATAAAAAAAACTAGAAAATACCAGTAACAAATCTTTTTTTTGTAATACGTATTAATTATTAAGATTAAAACCTTGGAATTACACTGTGAACTGCACTGCCCCTCCTCTGGTTTCTTTTGGTTCAGGAAGAACTTTTATTATAGGTTCTTACGTTCGCTGTTGGTGCAGTGTCCACCAGCGTAAATTACACCAGTTACACCACCTTTATTTGCCTAGTTTACTTCCTCCTTATTCCTGATTCACATGTCGAGTTTAATTCACTCCTGCTAAATAGCTGGTGGAGAAAATATCCACCAGTGGACACCATATCGCCGACAGGAAGGTGTAGTGGATTTTACACCGGGCCAAACGAAAGGTATGGTGTGCGTTGGTGTAATTCATTCCTACACCAGTGGGACGAACGAAAGAACCTTTTGTTTGTACTCTCGACAATTGAAATATCTTCAACGTCAGGCCAAACGAACTAATTTTTTTTTGGATCTTAAAAATTTGATAAGCCATTCATCAGAGTCTAGTTTCTCGATTATTTTGCCAACAAAATGCTTAACAATTTTCTTTGTTGCAAATTGGACCAACTTATTAATTTCTAAAATTTGGGGTTCCTCATAAGTTTCAATATTCTCACTTTCTAATAATTCAGATATAAACTCCTCTGAATTATCTGACTCTTGAAATGATAAATGTCCAGATTTACTGGAGGAGCTGGATGCTTTTTTTGCCCTAGTTTTTGAATTCGCCGTATCGGTAAGATCATCAACATCTTGCTTTGGCGCTGTTATAACCTTAGCCCCAACCGCTAATTTTTTTTTAATTTTGTTGGAGCTTGTTTTTGAGTCACGCATTTTAATAAAAGTGACTCAAATGAAGCTTTGCTAGTGATGGATTTATTTAGCTGTGCTATTGGTCGTCTCAGCTAGGCTAGTGTACGCCTCATCTAAATTGGTGCTTGTTTCTGCTGTGGTGGTATTTAGCTTCCCATCTTTTCAAAGTCTCATTGTCAAATTTTTCTCTAGGGACTACTTCGTTGTTAAAAGGAACAATGCCGCCTTTTCTAAAACCATTTACAATGACGCTGGAATTAGGTTTTGACCAGGTCTCCACAATAAACGTCGTCGAATGTTATGTCGCTGCCATTTTACCAGCTTCATATCCCAAGCATCTTTAATCGACTTAAAAACCGACAAGTCCAGTAGTTGGAGAAGGTGGGTTGTATGTGGCGGTAGCTTGATAATTGTTATATTTTTCTCGTTTGCCAAATTAACTATAGCCGTAGATACATGAGTTTTATGGCCATCATATATAATAAGTTGAGGCCTCTCTGGGCCTAATGCAGGGATAATAGTATTTTTAAAATAATTTAAAAAAAAATTCCGCATCCATCCAACCTTTTTGATTGGCAGTATACGACATACCGGGAAAAACACTGTACGGAGCCTGCCACTGTTCCCATATATTGGCGCCTTTAAAAATAATTAGTGGCGGTGCCTTTTCCACAGCAGCACTTGCCAGAAAACATACTGTTCTGTTTTCGCGCCCGGGGGTCCTTGTTACTCTTGCACAGGATTTTCCACGTTTACCAACCACTTTTGTCTTGATACCCAGCTAGCACAAAAACGTCCCATCTACGTTAATAAGCTGCAATTTTAGGCTCTTTAAGCTCGCATGCAATGTACTGTAAATGTAACCCTTATCTCCCTGCAACTACCGAATGTCCGCAACGGCAAGACTTTTATAGCACATCTCACAGAAGTTACAAAGTGAAGTTCGAAAAACATCACACTAGCACTTTTACGGTACTTACCCCGAAAGTTGCTCTGAAACGTTCTATTGATGTTATAATGTGAATTAGATCTACAGCATTATACAGTGTGTCCACGGATGGGCTTAACTATACTTGTGAAAATATTTATTTTAAATTAAAAAAGTAATTCTTCATAATTTCTTGCTTGTTAAATAAATTCGATTCACATTGAGAAATTATGAAAAATAACTTTTTCTTTAATTTAAAATAAATATTTTTACAAGTATAATTAAGTCTATCCGTGGACACACATTGTGTGTCGAGACATGAAAATTTCAAATAAAACAAAATATTTATATAAATTTATTATTAAAATGTTCTTGAAATCAAGTACCAATAGCACAAAAGTAGAGGTAGGTGTAGGCGTGTTCTTTTATTCAGGGCTGTATCCAGCGCTTGCAGCAAACCGTTCGTAAATTAAGTGATGGAAAGACGATTGTATGTGTCAATCATTCTTTTTCCCAGCGGTGAGTTCACCAATGAGCCAAGGCATCCATCGGCTTTAAAAGCCGATGGATATGTGATAGACGAATGGTGAGGATAATCAATCATTTAAGTTAACCTAAAATATAAGAGTTCAAATATAAAACGACTGCAGAATAGATAAATTACATCAATCACTGATGGAACAAAAATAAAAGAACACACCTTATATCACAAACACAAGTACACATGTGGGATAGAAGAAGCTACCTAGAAAGCACTGAACGATTGGACAAAATTAGCTAAATAGTATAATAAGGTACCAATATTGCAAAGGTTCACTAAAACCTTAAATGGTGAACGATGATAAAGCTAGATTGGTGAAAAATAATAAACGAATACAACAATGACTAGGTACATATTATTATATTAGATTACTAGAGGATAGCTAAGTTTGCTGATTTCTTACCTAAGACGCAGAGATATATCTTTTTTAAATCAAGCCTTTTAACATTTTTTGCATAGATATTTATAAAGTGCTATAATGTAACCTAAATATGACAATTTATTAGAAGAGCATAAATTATATTTTTATATAAAAAGATTTTACTTCTCAATACATTGAATAAAAAAGAAATTGATAACTTGTTTACCTATTATTAATTAAAGGAAATTATATAGAAATTAAAAAATATGCCTTACTTTGTTGTTTTAAATAAAACAACCAATGTAAGTGTATTGAAATTTGTTTGAATTTTACAAATTTTATGCTTGATTTCCAAAGTACATATATCGATGGCTCAATCAAAAACCGCCACAAGTCAAAAAACAAAGCAATTACATTTTTGGTTCAATGGATGCAAAATATCATTACAGTTTTACTTTAAATACCACCACAAAAATATCCTTAAAGATAAATCATTTAAAATGAAGCCACAAACTGTGTCTAAAACTGCCTCAATTCGAGTTATTTTCTTCAAAAACACCCAAATTTTTTACAACTATGCAACAACTCACTTTTATAATCGTAATCATTTTATTTAACAGCAAAATATTGAAGCTTTTAAATAAAATATAAAGAGTATGTCAAAAACAAAATAATGATAATAAAATTTCAAAATGAAATTTCTCGAAATAATAGTATTTTAGTTGTGGCAGTATTTGATTGAGCCATCGATATGTAGATTTTATAAAAAACAACTGGTGTTTTTTAGCAAGATATTCTATTATACTCGAGAGTATCATCTATGATTTCTCTCAACTTTTCTGCTGGGTTTTCACTTGAACTGATGGTTGCATTTCCAGGCAATCTAGTCTGTTGAAGAGAATGAACTGCTTGAATTCTGATATACCTGACATATCATGTACCTATAGATTCACTTTTTATAAAACTTCAGGTGTTATATTCTTCTTTACACTTCTGTAGTATTTACTTTTGCTTCTAAAAATCCTAGAATGTCGAAGGAAACCTAAAAAATAATATTTTTAAAATGTATTTTTAGTTCGATAAAGTATAATTACCTTTTATAAGTATTTGGTGTAAAATGTTGCCGGACATTCGGTTAAATGTTTATCTTCTGGTTTACAACGATTGATCTGCAATTCTTTGTTTTTATTGTAGTTTTTTTTATTTGGTGTCATCGGCATCGACTGCTAAAGATACTTAATGAATGAAATAATAAATTTACATCAGGCATTGTAATCTGAAACAAAGACAATGGTTTAGAAAATAGTTATCTATTTTATAGAGGACCCTTACCAAATCTATTCGAATGTATAAATAATAATTATTTATAAAATAAATTCTGGATGTCGAAAAATAAACCATTAAAAAAGACAATTGACAAGAAAAACTGACAAGTGACAATTGACATAAAACTAAACGTTCTGAATTCAGATTTGTAATGTTTACGGTAGGTTAACTAGGTAAATAACAAATAGAAGTTTTGCGAGGTTTTGATTTCCCTCAACAACTTCTCATGAACGTTGCATTTACGTTGTACAGTAATGTTATTACGTTCCCTTAATGCAACATCGCCGAAAGGCATGGCAACGTTATGTGCTAGCTGGGTAGTATCTATGGAAAAACTACTTTCATCAAGGTTTCAAATTTGGGCAGGTTTATCTTTTAGGTTCAGTTCTTTCAACGTTTTTTCCAAAAGATCGAAGTATTGAAAGATAATAAATGGATCAGTGGCTTTTTTTCTAGCATATTCAACTGACTGGGGTACTTTAATGCTAAGATCATGCCGTTTTTTAAAACCTAGGAACCAATAATTTCCTGGCATTCCATTTTAAAAAGGAGTTTCTAACTTATTTTCTTTAACGAAAAGAGAAACTTGTTCCAAAACTTCCTTTTTTGATAGTCCAAAACCACACTTTTCCAAAGTGGCCAGTCCAGAGGCTAACTCCTGCTCTTGATTGCTCGTTAATGCTGTTTGTCGACCTTTACGTTTTTCTTCATTCCTCAAAGTTCTTTTACGCGACTATATATGGTACTGTATGGTATGTTATATCTTGTAAACGCCTTATACATTGTCAAATGTCCCGCTTGGCATTCTCGTACTGCTAGCTCCAACGTTTCTATTGGGTACTTAGCGTCTTTGGTCCCTTTTTACTTTCCTATCTGTATACAGATATAAGGAAAGTATAGGAATCATGATTTTTTTCGACCTCGAGTTTTTGACGGATTTTTACGTTTTGAGGTCCCCTGAATCCGTTTTGACTATTTTCGCGATGATGTCTGTGTGTGTGTGTGTGCGTGTGTCTGTATGTCGCATAACTCATGAACCGATACACAGAAAAACACCAAATTTTAAACTGAAGCTTTATTCCAGCGTCTAATGAACTGATTAGATTTTGGGCAGAGTCGGAACATCTGGGGGGGTACTTTATAGGTGATCATTTTTATATTTTATAGAATATATCTGTTATTTATAAATAAAAGTTACTTCTAATATAATTATCTATAATTTTTGTTCTATACAAAATTTTCCTAAAATGATCCGTATTCGAGAAATTTGACAAAATGTAAAAAAATATTTTTTTATAAAAATTGTTCAAGTAAAAGTTGTTTGTAACATAATTCTCTATAATTTTTATTTTATACATAATTTCTCTAAAATAGACCGTATTCGAGATATTTGAGAAAATATGTAAATTTCGAATTTTGAAGAAAACTCAAAAACGGATAAAGAAAAAAACATTAAATTTTAAACTTAAGTTTTATTTCGGCCTGACGTGAAATGATTAAATTTTAGACAAAGTCGGAACATCTGGGGGTACTTTATGGGAGGCCATTTTTATATTTTATGGAATATGTCTCTTATTTATGTTTGGAGAAGAAAATTCTTCAAATAAAAGTTACTTCTAATATTATTATATATAATTTTTGTTTTATGTCAAAATTTCCTGAAATGGTCCGTATTCGAGAAATTTGACAAAATATGAAAAATTCTGATTTTTATGAAACTTGTTGAACTAAAAGTTGTTTGCGATATCGATCTCTATATGTTTTGTTTATATATGATTTTTCTAAAACGGACCGTAATGGAAGAATTGGAAGAAGAGTTGTAAATTTAAAATTTTTAGGATTTTCGTTTTCAATGAATATAGAAAAATGTTTCAAGGTAGATGTATGGGAAAATGTATATATTTAGTTTATCCTCTAAATATTTATAGAGGTGCTGCAATAGGTTGTACAAAATAACCAGAAAAAGCCTATAATAACTAGATAGGAAAGTCATGTGTTGGACACATCAGATTTTTTTCATATAAACTCGAACCATTTTATCTGAAAAAATAAAAGGGGTAAATGTAATAGCATGTGGGGTAAATGTAATATAGTATATAACACATTTACCCCGACCTCCTTTTTCCGCGGGGTAAATGTGTTATAGGCCTTCAGAAAAAACTTATAATTCAATTTTCCATAAAACCTCACAAAAATACAACTTATGAATCATTTAAAAAATTTAACTTTCAAACACTTACCCGAAAAATATGGATCTGGCGGCTATTTCAAAAAACACGTGCTGAATTTGGTTACTGAGTGAAATAACAGCAGTCGACCATGCGGCGTCTGAAACCAATCTGAAGCGGGTTTTGACTTGACGCGCTTGTTTGATTTAAGCGGCAACTAGGAAGTGGTGGCTTTCATTTAAGGAGGAAGCGGACGGTTTTCGGTTGACAATTATCCCAACTTACCTTATGTTACATAGTTCTATTCAGAGTGTTACGGACTTTTCTCGAAATACATTTCAGGAAAACAATTTTTTTACATATATAATACATGAAATAATCCACAAATAATGTTTCTAAAGTAACGCCTTGGAAAAATTCACACATGTCAGAGTGTACAATTCTTTTTAAGTGTGAGTTTGGATTTAATTCATGGATATGACTAGTATCTCTGTCTTTGTTGGTTATGGCCTATTTTAGAAACAATTTTGGTGGTTCACTCCTTATATTTCAGTAAATGTAGTTAATTTGAAGAGCTATTGGCAATTGACGATAGTACCTTGTCAATGGTACTGCTTCAGAAAGGTAAAGATTTTTATCGTCATTTACCTAGTCAATTATTCATCGCGTCTTCGTCCTTCTATGATAGTTGATAGATACACTTTATTGTGGATCGCGCGCAATGATTTTAAAGCCAAAAAACTGCTATACGGTACCCACATCGGCCTGGCGATAAACCCATGTACATGGCTCAGTTTCATTTTATTGCGCTTCGCGTGTGTTATGATATTTAAGATTGTGCAAAAATCGTTTTAAAAAATACCAAGATCAAAAGAAAAAAGAAAAGCTTTGGAAAATATTAAGGAATTAAAGAAGAAAATGGTTCGTTTGGAAAAAATATTAAGTAGTTCTGTCTCGGAAAGCACAAAATCTGCAGGTTAGTTATAAAAATAATAATTTTTTTGTACCTTTCTTGCGTTCTTTTTATAAAACCGATAAAGAAATATAATATAGAGGCATGGGTATAGGTTTTTGACTACAAAAGGCCCGCAGATTATTGTCTGTAGAGTATTGCCAATAAATTAATTAAGGGTGTGGTTGTTTTGATCATAGAAGCCCGCAGATTATTGTCTGTAGAGTAATGCCAAGAAATTAATTAAGGGTGTGGTTGTTTTGATTACAGAAGCCCGCAGATTATTGTCTGCAGAATAATGCCACGAAATTAATTAAGGGTGTGGTTGTTTTGATCACAGAAGCCCGCAGATTATTGTCTGCAGAGTAATGCCACGTAATTAATTAGGGTGTGGTTGTTTTGATAACAGGAACCTGCAGATTATTGTCTGCAAATAATTGAATTGATTAAAATATTCAAATAGTAACATTATTGTTTGCGTTGTTTATTATAAAGGGTTTTGTTTTATTTAACAGATTCAGATCCATCCTCAGACTATGATTTTGCTAGTTTAGACACAAATCATTCAGTTCTCAATTTTCTCGGAGAAAATACAAAGACAATTAATAGTATAGGAGCGGAACTACATGAAAAATTGGTAATTCGGTGATCCAACTACCTCAAAGAGGATGTATCGAAGAAAATCGGAAAGATCTGGTCAATAAATTTCCCTTTTCAAAAAATGAATATTTTTTCACTAATCTTCAGGAACTCAGCATTTAAACTTCAAGCGTTCACAGTACAAAAAGAGAACGAAAGAAAGGGATCAGTCGTCAGCAAAGAACCAATACCCAAGGAAAACCGCAAACCAGGGTTACCGCAGGGAACACTACAACCATTATCAAAAGTATCGGAAGTTGAGGCGCTCCAAAATCCGAAAATAAAGGTAGATATAATAGCGGGAAAATTAAAATATTTTGAAACCAGGCTCCAAAAATGCTTTTCAATGGCTGATAGGTATTATATTACTATTTTCACAGATACTAAAACAAAATAGACATATAGGTAATCTTATACCTAGAATACCTCCTGCGAAAATTCCAAACTTTAAGCAGGACATACATAAATTGTTAATAAAAAGGGTGATAAATGCAAATTTATAGAAGATCAATTTCTATCATCATATTTTCTAATTAAAAAACTCGATAAGACATTTTCGTTTTATACTAAATTTAAAATTATTAAACAGTTTATTCCTACAAAACATTTTAAACTAGAAGACTACATAGCTGCGGCTAGTTTAATATCAAAAAATTCATATTTTACAAAGTTAAACCTTAAAGAAGCCTATTTTCTTTTCCTATAGATAACAATTATATAAAAAAAAAAAAATATATTTTAGATTTATATTTCAAAATACTCTATACCAATTTAATTGTGTTGCCTTTGGCTTAAACATAGCAGCATATAATATATTTACGAAATTATTAAAATCCGTTGTTAAATATTTAAGAGAACGTGGAGTAAAATTAGTTATATACCTTGATTACATATTGCTTATAGGCAGAGATTACAGTGAATGGAAAAAATTTTTAGAAATGACCAGGGATTTGTTAGAATTTTAAGGCTTTGTAATAAATTACAAGAAAAGTATATTGCTACACCAACAAGAGAAAGATGTTCTAGGTTTTACATTTAATTCTAGTTTAATGGAGATTAAATTACCAAATAGAAAAATAGAAATTACAATAATGTATTGGAAAAATTTAGACATCGAGAGGTTTGTAGAATTGAAGAATATGCATCCCTTGTTGGGAAATTAGTATCAATGGCTCCTGTCTTTAAATATGGTTTGCTTTATACAAAACCTTTGAGACAGTAAAACAAAGAAATCTAAAACTACACAAACAAGATTTTAATAAAAAGATGCAAATTCCCACAAGTTTAAAAAATGAATTTTGTTGGTGGCTTCAGAATTTAGCTTTATTTGGTAGGAATTTTATTAAAGAATCTTACTGTCTAGAAATTTATTCAGACTCTTCAAAATCAGGATGGGGAGCACACACAGATAATTTAGAGGGAAAGGAATTTTGGAGTGTTGAAGAAAGAACTGAACACATAAATTAATTGGAATTGTCAGCAGCCCCTAATGGGTTACAGTCTCTCACTACAAATTTTAAAAATTGTAATATATTATTACGCATTGATAACATAACTGCTGTAGCCTGTATAAATAAAATGGGAAGTATAAAATATAGAAAACTCAATAAAATTTTCCGGGATATTTTGCTTTGGTGAAAGTTTAGAAACATTTATGAGTTTGCTTCTTACATCAATATTTTAAAAAATTCAAAAGTAGATATTTTATTAAAAACAAAATTTGAAAATACTGAATTTGAGTTAGGATCTAACTATTTTCAGAAAATAAAAGAAAATTATGGAGAACCATCCATTAATCTTTTTGCATCTAACAAAATCGCAAAATGCTTAAGATATGTGTCGTGGTACCCCAATCCACACAGTCTAACAGTGGATGCGTTCGTTCACTATTGAATGGAAAATATATTATTTTTATGCATTTCCACCATTTACATTAACAGGCCGAATCTTACAAAACATTCAGGAAAAAAAAGGCTACTGGTATTCTTGTTGTGTCCTATTGGCCTTCACAACCGTGGTATCCGACATTTGTTCAACTATTAATAGAGAAACCATTCATTTTTAAAGCAAACAAAAATTTACTGATTTCCCCTTTCAGGAATCCACATCCGCTTCATAGATCCCTTTTCCTGGTGGCAGGAAAATTGTCTGGGAGGCGGTAAGAACAAAAAAAAAAAAAGATTCCGGACTGCCAATCCCATAATGTTAGCATCCATCTCAGAAAAATCATTAAAACAGTATGCAACTGCGTATAAGAAGTGGTGGCATTTTTGTTTAAATAAGAAATACAATCCCTACAATTATTTTTTAGATAATATTTTGGGTTTTTGCGGGAAATGCTAGAAGAGGGTTTATCTTATTTTACACTTAACTGTTCCTGACCTTATTGATTTTGGAACAAATGATGAAAAGATAATAAAACGGTTTTTAAAAGGGGCTATTTAAAAAAAAAAAAAAAATTATTCTTTTAGAATCACTATCCCCTCAAGGAATAAACCCATAAGTTGACTGTTATTAGCTCTCACCTCAGCCCATCGTTTGCAAACTTTATCAAAGAATGAATTAAAAAAAAAAAAAAAAAAAAAAAACATATTGCAATTTCAGGATAAGTTAGAAATAAAAATATCATCAATAATAAGAACATTTGGATTGAACCGTTCTCAACCCGTTCTTATCTTTCCATTTTTTAATGAAAATCCAAACCTCCGTGTGGCATCTCTTACAGACCATTATATTAAGGTTACAAAAGGATTTAAAACAGATGGTTCATTAATTTATACTTACCACAAACCTTAACATCTAGCTTCAATTTAAACTCTTAGCAGATTGATAAAAGAAATATTAGGTAAAAGTGGGATTAACACAGATATTTAGTAGTCATTCAGTCAAGCACGCGGCGACATCGTTCGGTTTTCGAGCAGGCCTAAATATAGATTTATTATTAAAGACTGCAGGCTGGACTAAAAAATCTAGAGTTTTAATACCCTTTATAATAGGCCAACTATTCAGGAAAAATTTAATTTTGCAAGATGTATTCTTAGGTGTAGAAAGAAATAACTACCAGATAATTTCTATTTGGATAATTATTTAATGTATCAAAATTATATTTTGTTTTCCAATTTGTTATAAAATTATTAAAGTACAGAAACTACATATATTATTTATAATCATTGTGTTTCTTAAATTACTAAAACATAATAGAATTATATAATAAAATTATGTAATAAAATTATACATTTTTGTCCCTAAATTTTTTAAATTTTGTATTTACAAGTAGGTACCTACAAAGAACATCATTTTGCACTCTCAAATATAGACTTATTGGTAAACTGTACCCAAATTTGGTTCTTTAAACATCTATCAACTATCATAGAAGGACGAAGACGCGATGAATAATTATAAGATTAATCGACTTACCTGTAGGGATGATTAATCTTAATTATTCGAGCGTCGTAGTCCTTCTATGATAGGGCCCACCCTGCCCTAGGCCCCAGATGCAGTTGGTGCAGTTTACCAAAAATGAAACTGAGCCATGTACATGGGTTTATCGCCAGGCCGATGTGGGTACCGTATAGCAGTTTTTTGGCTTTAAAATCATTGCGCGCGATCCACAATAAAGTGTATCTATCAACTATCATAGAAGGACTACGACGCTCGAATAATTAAGATTAATCATCCCTACAGGTAAGTCGATTAATCTTATAATTAGTATTCATTTTTCTATAGGCATCTTTTAATTTTTTGTACATTGTTAATTTAATGTGTGTCCTTATTATTAGTTAAGAATAATTGGACTTTAGCGGAAGAACAAACAAGTCGAAAATGCAATTTAATCAATCTTTCGTATATAAATCATGTTATGTTTATATACTATTTAGTAATGAATTTATTATTATAAGGGAGGTACAAATCGAAACGCTAGAATTTCAGGTATGTTAGGTTATAGTACAAATTACAGATCCATCGTATCATTTTATGAGCTAACAAAAGAGATTATTAATGGGAAATATGATGACAATAAAAAATATTCTGTAGGTTATGCCATAATATTTAATGAACAAATGATAAAGATTGCAAAATAAAGGTACTTTATTATCGTCATATCCACTACTATTAGCTATTTAGCTTTACTTTAAACCTTCTGGGTGCATTGCCTCTTAAGCGTCTTGTAGTATAAAAAGATGTTACTTTTTATTTAAAGAAAATACTTTATATTTTCATATATAAAATTTATTTAAATAATCTTTGTATAATAATTATTTGTTGTTATTTTTTGCATAGTAAACCTGACAGAATTATTTTAGTTGTTTTATTAATAACATTCCAAGCTGGGTTAATAGTTTCTAGAAACTACGAATATTTTTTAATTCATGAAAATGCATATCACAGAAGTATCTAAAAAACTATATTAACAAGATACGTTAAACATTCAGAAATAATATAAATTGGTTTTTGTACTTGTGAAAGTTGCATATAAATCAAACATTTTATAACATATTGATTCCAAATTTTTAAACATTTTGTGCACAAATATTGGGAATCGATGTTTTTTCTGACTCCATATTTTAGTGGTAAATTCTATCCATACAGTTTGAAATTATATCCTTCTTTCCACAGTGAGAGATCTACAGCTGGTAAGGAGTGGCAAGTAAGAAGCGGATTGCTAAAAAAAATGGTATATAAAAAAATGTGAATTTGAGTGCAGTGCTTTTTTATGATTTCCTTCGTTGTGTTCATCCTATACATGATTGTAGTAATGGACTGTATTTTTTTTATATTTTTATTATTATGAAAGTAATACGTATTGAGCACATAATTCACAAACTGAACTATTCTGCCTCTTAGTTAATAAACAAGTGTCTGGGAATATAGTTAGTTAAAATAATTAGTAAAGCTTTGCTCTGGTATGCAACATTGTTGCCAGACTCAACATAAAAAGAAAAATGCATGGGCTTCAGAGTGCATACTGTTATCTCTTTATCAGTGGCGACACGTCAACAAAAAATTGGGGGTTCACAATGGCAAAATATAGATCTCTGTACAGATTTATGTAAAAAAATTTAAGTTTTTATAATATACCTTTCCAAAACAGTGAAACCTTTTTACCTAAATCTGTACTGAGACCTATATTCTCTCATTGTGAACTCCCAATTTTTTGGCCACGAGCCGGCACTGCTCTTTATTCCAGAACTTGTATAAATGGTAAGATTCGTTATTTTTTACTTTGAGTCCAAGCGGCGACCGCCGTAAAAAGGTGGTCATCCAGTACAAGTACAAAAATATATTTTATTACTTTTTGGGTATTAGATGAATAACAAACCATCGGTCTGGTAGTCTATGACTTGTACAATATTTTTTTAAAATAAAATTTGTGTTTAATTTTTTTTTTTGTAAAATTGATCTACATAACTTAAACATATTTTTTTAGTTTACGATGGCGTTTTGACCAAATGAATATATTCTTGACGCAACTGTTTGTCAGACCACCCCTAACAAATTTATTACAACAAATTTTCTATACAAGGTATAAGAAAAAATCAAAAGTCAAAATTTTTATTTTTTATTCCTTTTTCGAATAAAATTGGTCTGGCACGTTCGTACTTGACCAAAATTCTGCCAGACCAAGATTAAGCAAGTCCTTCTCTACTGCTTGTAAAGTGCGAGTTGTTTTTGTTTTTGACATAATTGACATCATTCAAATCTTAACCTGTTTAATTCGCCAAAATGTGATGTGCGTTTTTTTAAATGACATTTACTTAGATAAATAATTAAATAATTTTTTATTGAATTAGAAAAATGAAATGCTTTATCTGTAATATCACTAATATCAAGGAGAAAGTATTATCGTTTAATGCTGATACATTTCAAAGATGTTGTTTATTTATTGAAATAAAAAAAAAGAATCATTTCAAGTACGGTGATTTAATATTAATACCTGAACTTCAAAAATCTGCAGGTTATCATTTGAAATGTTACCATAATCTGGTTGCTGGTAAGTGTATTGTTAGCAATTTTACCTAGAGTCGCCTCTGGTCAGGGAGATAAGCACGTGTTGATGACGATGCGAAAATACCCCGACCTTTTTCGTCGGCATCATGTTGGTGTTTCACAGGAGAGCATTCTGAAAAGGACAATCAACGTGGTCGATCCCTCTGCTCAGATTACTGGCTACTCGTTGTCATTGGTTGTGTATTTGTATTAAATATTGATACGATTATAGTGGTGTTTACTCATATTTGGATTTTTAATTGTAATTAACATTTATACCCCCTTCGTTTTCTAACAGTATAATGTTGACCATATTACACGAGTATTGTAAATATTCGAGTGTAGTATGGTCCATTATACACGAATTGAATACTATACTTTATCTACAACTAAATACGGGGGCTCACCGAAAACGAAAAGGGGATTTTTAGAAAAAATTCTTTGAAGTTGTTATAAATAGAATTGACAAGATTGTTCACAATTAAAAGATGTTTCAAATGAGGAGTGTTTAAGCCACCGTGTGAAATAAAACGCCAATTTATACAGGAACTCGTTTAAAGTTATTTATTGATGAAATTAATAGTAACATTACAATTTGAAATATTAATAGCTCCGGTAATATTGAGATTATTGTTTTTTAAAGAAAAATTAGTGTTGCTATTGATGAGTACAGAATCATGACGATCATTGTCAGAAGATGATGGATTATTAAGACCAACACAATTTTCATTATTGATTTGACTTAAAATTGCTTGAGCTGTTTTTATTTTGTTCTTTTTTGAATTGGCGATGTACCCTTCTGCTGTGGAGGCGGATTTCCAGCCTCCATGACGTTTTAATGTTGTCATTGAAGCTCCAGAATCAGCAGCCAATGTTGCAGATGAACGCATGAGGCAATGGCCAGTATATCTCTCAGGGTTTGGTAATTGTAAAAACGTAGCAATTTGCTTTCCCATTGCGCTAAACTTGTTTATTCCTATCACTTGTTTTGTACACTTTCCTTTTTGGAAATTGAGAAAAAAATCTTTTGGTGCATTTTCGGGCCGGAGGTCTATATATTTTTTAACGATTTTGAAAAAATTATCCACAATTGTGAAATTCCTTGGGACTTTGGTTTTTGTGTGTGACAAGTTTACTTGAAAACATCCCTCAAAACATCTTAAATCCCTAATTTTCATATTATTTCATTCACAGGATCGGCAAGCACCCATGACCCCCATAATCAAGGCAACCTTAAAAAAATGTGTAGATTAAGTTAAAGAATTTTGATTTTCGATAAGAGTTTTTACCTTTGTTCCAAGATATTTAAAATCTGGGGCTTCCTTTATAAACCTCTCAATTTGTTCACCAGTCAGAGCTTCAGATTTCTTAGGTTCGTAATTTTCGGATCGTCTTTTCAACAAAGCACGTAATCTCGGATATTTATCAATGTCGACATTGTGCTTGATGTTTAACATGCTTTTTAGCATGGAATAGTTTGTCCATAAAGTAGACAATTTGTATTTACTATAAATTTCGATAAAATATACAAGCACAGTGTCTTCGGAAAAAGAGGATACATTTATTGTTTTTTCCACGACATAAATTTGTTGTATGCAATCTCATAATTTTTCCTCGATATTTCAGGTAATAATTCCAACGACGCCACTTTAGCAGCGTCGCGGATTTCAGGAGGTGTTAGTTCCATGTAATCATCGTCTTCCATTTTTTTAATTGATAAACACTTAAAACAGGCTTAATATTTTAAGTTTAATTTCAAAAAAGAATCGGGAACAACGAATAACTGTCAAAATGCTGTCAACTAACTTGTCAAATGCATACTAGATCTAATGATTTTTAATTCTAGTGGGGTATAATTGACAAAAATCGTGTAATATGAATATATTCTCACTAGTGATATATGGATTGCTTTATGTTGCCTTAGATACGCATATAATACATCCATATAATGACAGTTGTAGAAAATTATTTCATTATTTAGCTAAGTAAATGTCATTTAAAAACACGCATATCACATTTTGGCGAATTAAACAGGTTAAGATTTGAATGATGTCAATTATGTCAAAAACAAAAACAACTCGCACTTTACAAGCAGTAGAGAAGGACTTGCTTAATCTTGGTCTGGCAGAATTTTGGTCAAGGATTTACGTGCCAGACCAATTTTATTCGAAAGAGGAATAAAAAATAATAATTTGACGTTTGATTTTTTCTTATACCTTGTATAGAAAATTTGTTGTTGTAATAAATTTGTTGGGGGTGGTCTGACAAGAATAAGAACGCCAGACTTGAATTTCTATATTCATTTGGTCAAAACGCCATAGTAAACTAAAAAATATAAGTTATGTAGATCAATTTTACAAAAAAAAAAAAAAAAAATGAAATACAAATTCTATTTAAAAAAAAATTGGACAAGTCATAGACTACCAGACCGATGGTTTGTTATTCATCTAATACCCAAAAAGTAATAAAATATATTTTTGTACTTGTACTGGATGACCACCTTTTTACGGCGGTCGCCGCTTGGACTATATTAGAATACAGATTCGTCTTGTTTGATTAGTTATTATGGCTCAATGCAGTGTCAGTTCGTGCCTTATGTATTTGGTAGAGCAAAAAAGCTTTTTCTGTCAGAAAACAACGCCAAATGAAATTTCAAAATACCCCTAACAGTGTCGCAACTAACAGTAAAAAAACCCTTAGCTTTCAGAACAGAAGAACGACCCAGTGCATGAAGGGCGGTAATATCTTTTTGTTTTTCAGGGGTTGAAACGGGGCTTGAACATTTGGCAAGGAAGGCGGCGTCCAAACGTTCTAATGTATCTGGCCGATCCTGGGTCAATGTTTCCGAAGTAAACTGTATATTCACATCCTAGAGAAAGCATGTTAAAATATTTTATCGCCGCATGATTAGTATTTGGACGAATGACAATAAAATCCTTAGGTTCTTTCATTCCTAGTTTTCCTCCTAGTTTTCCTAGTTTACTTCCTCCTTATTTCTTATACACATATCGAGTGTAACTCATTCCTGCTAAATAGCTAGTGGAGAAATATCCACCAGTGGACACCACATATCCGACAGGTAGGTGTAGTGGATTTTACACCGGGCCAAACGAAAGGTATGGTGTGTGTTTGGTGTAGTTCATTCCTACACCAGTGGGACGAACGAAAGAACCTTATGAGTAGTATGCCGGGTAGATGTAAGAACACTCTCGCATTGTTACCTTTATACCACATATTAGATTTTTGTTTTGAACATTTTGTGGAGGCTCTATATGTATAGTATTCACACCCTATATTCAATTTGTTTGTATCTTAGTAATAGATTATTGTTATTGTCAAAAAGAACAAAAAAAATATTATCACATGGAATTTGGCTATCACTAAAAAATCAAAATATTAAACCTATTTGGAGGTTTAATTCCAGATACAGTCCAAAAGAGAGATATCCCAAACAAAGTGGTCCTTCGAGCCGGATTTGGAGGCTAGTTGAAATATTGGTGGAGTAAAACAGAATTGGCGAGAAGTTTGGTTTCCTTTAAGCGTTGACCTTTCTTCAAACATATCCTTTTTTTTAAGTCTCTTTAAATACTTTTAAATTTTCTTGGAGTATTGCAAATGGCAGAACTAAAAAATTTAAATAGGAAACGTGGTAGTATAAAAACAAGACTCACATGG